TCCCCCCCCCCAAAGACTTTTTTTGAGACTTGGTCTCACTATGTAGACCAGGCTGGCCTCAAACTCTCAGAGATCCATCTGCCTCTCTTTCCCAAGTGCTGGGATTAAAACTGTGCACCACCACACCTGGCCACATTTTAAAAATGAAGGTATGTGTTTATCATATATGCACACATTGAGTACCACAGTATACCTGTGGCGGTCAGAGGACAGCTTGCAAGAGTTGGTTCTTTCCTTCACCCTGGGGATTCCAGGGATGGGTTGTCAGGCTTGGCAGCAGGCACCTATACCCACTGAGCTGTATCGCTGGCCCATCTCCACTTGCTTAACTTTCCCAACGGGGAGCCCTATGAGGGCTGGAGGCAGGAAGCTTTGAGGCGGTGAGGACAGGGCTGCTCCTGCCCTCTGCTACCGAGCAGCTCCTCCACACCAAGACTAGTGCTGAACCTACCAGTGGGAATTAGGGAGGCTTCACACTTCCACCTCTAAGGCATGTTTGAAAGAGTGTGGTGGTGTTTGCCTCTGGGAAGGGGAAGGGCTAGGTATGAAATGGTTATCCCCAAATGTATTTTTTTTTCCATAAAGCATGTTGTGGGGGGGGGCATAGAGACAAGAGTGTTGCAGGTGTCAGTCATTCCTTGCCTTTTACCTCATTTGAAACGTATGTGTACGTGTGTGTGTTTATGTGTATGAGTATTTTACATATATATATATGTATATATATTATATATCACGTGTATGCAATGCCCTTGGAGGTTAGAAGAGGGCATCGAGCATCGTATCCCCTGGAACTAGAGTTACAGATGATTTGTTAGCTACCATGTGGGTGCTGGGAACAGAACCTGGGTCCTCTACAAGAGCAACCAGTGCTCTTAACTGCTGAGTCATCGCTCCAGCCCTGAAACAGGGTCTCTTGTTTGATGCTTCACATACAGGTTTAATTGGTTCCCAGGTGCCATTGCACCCCCCCCAAAATGATATGCTACCTTCCACCCTGGTACCCCTAAGTTGGTGGTTTGGTCCCTGGCTCCCACCCCATCCTTAGCAACCCAGGCCAGTTGCCCTTCCACCCCAGCTCCACTGATTTCTGGCTTGTATGTACATACATCTCTTTGTCCCAAGTTTGGGGATTTGAAGAGGTAGACCTGGTGATCTTGATGTTGATTGGGGGATCAGGGAGCAGAGGGCTTGAGTGTCCCACATGATGATTATAGTACAATTTGTGTGTTTACCGTTTGACTGCCTTTGTCAGCTGGTGGACATGAATTTGTGGTTTCTGGGAATTAGTGGATAAGGGACCCCACGTTTACTCTGACTTTTGGGTCTGTGGTTGGAGTTTGGGATAGGAAAAATTTTAGGTCCAGTGAGATAATGGTTCTGTGGATGAAGGAGCTTGCTGCACAAGCCTGGAGACTTGAATTTGGTTCCCAGAATCCACTTGAAGGTGGAAGGAGAGGATGGACTCCCCAAAGTTGCCCTCTGACCGCCACTTCAGCTCACACAACATGCCATACATACACAGTAATAATAATAAAAAGAAAGGAGAACAGTCCCACTTTAGATGAGAGAAGATGAGACTAGGGGAGAATTTTAAGTTTTGGAAAAGGGCTTGGGAGATGGCTCAGTGGCTAAAGCACTTGCTGTAGAAGCGTGAGGACCTGAGTTCAAATCCTAGAACCCACGTAAACAGGTGGCCTTGGAGGCCCTCCTGTAATCCTAGCATTTGGGAGGTGGACACAGAATCCCTCAGCAAGCTAGACCAAATCAGCAAGCTGGGTTACATCGAGACCCTGCCTCATTATATAGGTGCGGAGAGTTTAGGAAGACCCCCCCCCCATCCAATGCCAACCCCAGACCTCAAGCTTGTGTGGCAAGCACTTTCTGACCTGACCTATCTCACCAGCCCTATATTGCTGGGGCTGGAACCTAGGGCCCGTGCATGCTAAGCATATGCTGTACCACTGAGCTAGGTCACCAGCACCACTAAAGCTTTTTTAAAGTGATTGCTCTATGGGGCTAGAGTGATGGCTCAGCGGTTAAGAGCACTGACTGCTCTTGCAGAGAACCCGGGTTCGATTCCCAGCACCCACATGGTGGCTAACAACCATCCATAACTCCAGTTCCGGGGAATCAGATGCTTCTTCTGACCTCCATGGGCACTGCACGACACGGGTGCACTTACATACATGCAGGCAATATACTTCATATACGTAAAATAAAAATATTTTTTTTAAATGATTGCTATAGGGGACAGGAGAGGAAAAAAAGAAGTGGTAAGAAAAAAAGCAAGGACTGCTCTTACAGAGGACCTGAGTTCACTTCCTAGCACCCATGTCAAATGGCTCACAATAGCCTGTAACTCCAGCTCCAGGGGATCCCAGGCCCTCTTTTGAACTGGGGGCACTTGCACTCACTTGTCGGTACCCACACACAGACACACGTGCACATACATACACATAATTTAAAAATAAGAAGCTGGGTATGGTGGCACACACCTTTAATCCCAGCACTCACCAGGCATAGGCAGGCAGATCTCTATAAGACTGAGACCAGCCTGGTCTATGTAGTGAGTTTCGGGCCAGCAGGGGCTTGAGGGAGACCCTATTTATAAATAAATGATTGATGTAAGCCAGGTGTGGTAGTCCATCCCTGTAATCCCAGCACTTGGGAGGTGGAGGCAAGAGGATTGTGAATTTGAGGCTAGCCTGGGCTACATGAGACCTTGCCTCTAAAAACTAAAACAAGAAAGGTAAAATTTAGCATTTGAGTTATTTGTACCTGTACATCTTGTGGCGTTAATACAGTCTCAGTGTGGTGCTGCTGTTGGCTGTTGCCACCATCATCTCGATTACTGTCTCTTGTGCTGGAAAACCCTGGACCTATTCAGCACCCACCAGCAGCCACATTCTGGGTCATTGACTTTGACCTGCCCCCATCCCTGATTCCTGTAAGAGCAATCCTACAGAGGTTGTCTTTCTTGGTTTGATTTGGTTTGGCTTGGGGGGTATTTTATTTTATTTTAGACAAACAGGGTCCCATCATGTAACCCGGGTGGGCTTTGATCTCACAGATCCACCTGCCTCTGCATTTCAAGTGCCAAAATTAAAGGCAAAATTAAAACCACTCCCAGCTGTTAATTTTGAGGTGTTGTGTAGCTCAAGCTAGCCTCAAATTCACCAAGTAGCCAAGAGTGCCCTTGAATTTCTTTGTTGTTAACTGCTTTACTTACGTATTTATCTAGTATGTGTGTGTGCGCACCTGCTATATGGGATGCACATGGTGGTCAGAGGACAGCTTTTGGAGTGGGTCCTGGAGGTCAAACTCAGGTCAACAGACTTGGCAGCAAGTACTTCTAGCTGGCCTTTTGGGGTTCTGTAATTTATTTTTATTTTATGTATATGAATATTTTGCTTGCATTATATAAATACACCACATGCCTGCAGAGGCCAGAAGAGGGCGTCGGATCACCTGGAACTGGAATAACAGACAGTTGTTAGCTATCATGTAGGTGCTGGGAACTGAATGTAGGTCCTTTGCAGGAGCAGCCAGTGCTTATAACTGCTGAGCCATCTCCCCAGCCCGTTTTTTTAAGGTTTATTTTAATTTGTGTGTACATAGGTGTCTGTCGTATGCAGCATATGTACAAATGTTCACAGAAGCCACAAGAAGGGATCGGATCCCCTGAGGCTAGACTTAAAAGCACTAGTGAGCCTCCCTGCATGGCTTCTGGGAACCAAACTCAAGTCCTCTGGAAGAGCAGCAAGCGCTTTAACTGCTGAGCCACCTCACTAGCCCTAAATCCCCCAAACTGCACTTTTAATTTTTTTTTCAATATTGAACCCAGGGCTTGGTGCACGCTAGGCAAGTGCTCTTACCACTGATGTACACCCCAGCCTCTAGTTTTTGTTGTTTGGGGGTGGGCAGCTTGAATTTCGGCTCCTTCTGCATCTACCTCCCAAGTGCTGCGATCACAGGCATGCAACACTTGCTTTCTGCAGTGCTGATACTCGAATCCAGGGCCTCATGTGTGCTAGGCAGACACTACCAACTGAGCCACAGCCCCACTCCCAGAGTTTGTCTGTGACTAGCTTATTTCACTTAGCATCATGTCCTCAAGGTCTGCCAAGTCCCAGGTCCCCTCAGGGTTCTAGTGTAGAGAACTGAGCCCTACTCTGTGGGTGTGGAGGTCTCCCTGGGTACAACATGGGCTCTGTGCCACCAGGCCCAGCCAGAACTCCTTCAGTTAGGGCACCTATCTCCCTCTGACTTAGGTGCTCTAAGCACCCACATCTAGTCACCCTAGACCCTAGAGTGTTGGGATTCTGGATGGTCCCGTTGCCTGGCACCTGGTCTTGGTTCAGCTACAGGGAGCAGCCTCTTTCTGAGGCTGTCTAGTGGAAACCCCTCTCTTTTTTACCCTCCTAGATTCCTGGAGTCCTGCTGCAGATGGGCATTGTAGAGGCGCACCTGTCTGTCCTTCCTCCCAGCCAGTGACGGAAGCCCACGCACACCCCCTAGATACTACCCACCATCCTTCTCTGCTCCTACCCCTCTCAGATGAACCCTGTCCTGAGAGTCCCTTCCCCGGGCCCTTAGGAGATCCTGTCTTTGCTGCTGCCACCTCTGCCTCTTGTCAGCCTCAGTGACCCTGAACTTGCCTCCTTTACGGTGAGGGGCCCTCCCTCTTCCAACTACTGTGAGACTGCTCTTCCCACCTTTGGCTTTTTTCTGAGGGGACAGGTTTTGTTTGTTTGTTTGTTTAATACGTATGGGTATTTGCCTGCATGTATGTAAGTGTACGCGTGTCATGCCTTAGGAGGCCAGAAGAGGGTGTCACATCCCCAGGACTGGAGTTATAGATGTTGTTAGCTACCATGTTGGTACTGGGAACTGAACCTAGGTCCTCTGCAAAAGCAGCCAGTGTTCTTAAATGCTAACCCATCTCTCCAGCCCCTGAGAGATAGTTCTTGATCTAGAGGAAGGGGTTTAGGGGTTGGTTCCCATTTGGTGATCCAACTGTGTACTATGGCCATACCCTCCTGCTGCAAGCCTGTTGTATGTGCCTGTCTTTGACTCTGTAAGATTCTGTTTCTTTTTTGTTTGATTCCTGCCCAAACCAAGTCTTCAGATTCTGATATCAAGGCAAATCCCGATTTCCCCCATCCCCTTGGAGAAATTTTGTTCCAGGGATTTATGTTTAATCTTTCTCGTCAAAAACTGACCTTTTTCTCTCTAGGATATATATGGCCCCAGTGGCTCTTTATTTATTTTATTGAGTCTAATATAGCCCAGGGTGACCTTGAACTTGGTGCATAACCAAGAGTGACTTTGAAGGAATCATTGTGTTGAGTCCTGGTGGCATAGTTACTTTTTTTGTGATGCTAAAAGACAGTCTCTATCTTTCATAAAAAATGCTTTTAAATTAATTTTATGTGTATGAATGTTTTGCCCGCATGCATGTAAGTATATCCATGTCATTCAGTGTCCTTGAAGGCCAGAAGAGGGCATGAGATCCCCTAGAACTGAAGTTGGGGATACTTCTTAGTTGCCAATGTGGGTGCTGGGAATCGAACGAACCTGGGTCCTCTGTTAACCACTGAGCCATCTCTCTAATCCCAATGGTTTCCTTCTTTGCCTGTTTACTACATTCTGTACCATACTCTCTATCTCAGTCTTTTTAGCCCAGGCTGACTTTGGAACTTCCCATTCTTCTACCTTAGCCTCCCAAGTAGCTGGGATTATAGGCTTGGACCACCAGCCGGTCTCAGCCATCCAGTGAGACCTCCAGTGATCAGCAACCATGACTATACATCAGGCTTATGTTGCAGCTGTGGGACAAAGGTAGGAGGCCATGTGGCTCACTGATGTAACAACCCCCCTTCCCTCATTTCTTTCTCCCTAAGGATCTTTTCCAGATGTGAGTGTCCCTCCCAGGTGCTGCTGAGGCCAGACCAGGAGCCAGTGACTTGAGAACTCTAGTTCACTCCAGTCCAGGTCCTACACAGAGGAAGCCTAGCCCCCATTGCTTCCCAGGGCAGGACTACCAGGTGAGCGTTGGGCCCCAGGAGGAGGCCCCCCAAAGTGGCAGAAGGAATTCGAGTTTCCCTGTTCCCTTGCTTCCCCAGGTCTGTCCCCTGCCCCGACTCGACTTTGGTTAACTCATGGTGCGAGTGGTCACGTGGCTAGTGTAGGTGAGTTCTTCCAATGCCCAAATGGCTCACAGGCTCACTTTCTAGCCAGAGGTCTGTCAGTCATGCCCAGCAAGCTGGTAACCCCATGGCTAACCTACAGAGACTCACTGTTGGCCTGATGGCTCTATGTACCCTGTCTGTGATCCTTCAGGTGTTTGGACAGTACAGGCCGGGTCCCCCTCTTCCATTCATCCCTGACTTCCAGGAAGCACCCCCTCCAATCCACGATGGCTGCAGAGACACTCAACTTTGGGCCTGAGTGGTGAGTCACCCCGGCTTGGCCTGTGGAGAGAAGCTGGGGTGGTGGAAAAGGGCCACATGGACCTCGGTCTCTCTTCCATTTTGTGTGGGTTCTAGGCTGAGGGCTCTTTCCAGTGGTGGTAGTGTGGCCTCCCCACCTCCATCCCCTGCCATGCCCAAATATAAGCTGGCCGACTACCGCTATGGGCGAGAGGAGATGCTGGCTCTCTATGTCAAAGAGAACAAGGTAGGTGTTGGGGGAGTGGCTCCCTGCCATGCATCTCTCTAGTGAGCTGCCCTGCAGTGTGTAATGTCCTGCTGTATCACAGGTCCCCGAAGAGCTACAAGACAAGGAATTCGTGGCTGTGTTGCAAGAGGAGCCTCTACAGCCCCTGGCCCTGGAACCTCTGACAGAGGAGGAGCAGGTGGGGCCGGGCCGGGCTGGGCATGGCTTGGGAAGATGGAAGCTGATTGGGTGATGGGTCCTCACTCCCACCCCTGGCTCCCTCCTCAGAGAAACTTCTCCCTGTCAGTGAACAGCGTGGCTGTGTTGAGGCTGATGGGCAAAGGGGCTGTGCCTCCCCCAACAGCCACCTCCCGTGGCAGGGGCAGCACACGGAGCCGAGGTAGAGGGGTGACTCCATGTCTTGGGGAAGGGGTTGTTGAGGGTATAGAGGAACACTCTGGCAAGTCCTCTTAAACCCAGATGTGTCCCATCCTCCAGGCCGTGGGCGTGGTGACAGCTGTTTTTACCAGAGAAGCATTGAAGAAGGTGATGGGGCCTTTGGACGCAACCCCCGGGAGATTCAGCGCAGCCAGAGCTGGGATGACAGGTGGGATTGAACAGATGGAGGAGGACAGAGGTAGAGCAGAGGGGGAGTAGGGTTGGGCCAGGATCCCCTAGGGTGTGGCAGGGGGTGGGGGTGATGTCTTAAGGGAAGGACCAGAGAAAGATTTACTAGGTGAGCCCTGGTCAGAGCTCTCTGGGCTCAGCCTGCCGTTTCCTTCTGGGCTCTGTGATCTGTTTGTGTGCTTCAATGGCTCCCTTTTCCCCAGCCTGATGTCTCCTAGTTCCCCCGGCCCCCCTCTGGGGGAGGGGATGCTAACCAGCATCTTTCTCTCCCACAGAGGTGAAAGGCGGTTTGAGAAATCTGCAAGAAGGGATGGAGGTATGAGAATGTTAAGCCTGGTGGACAGTGGGGTAGAGAGGCGACTGAGAAGGGTGACCCCCAGATAGAGGGTGGTAGGGGAGACAGGAGGGCCTGGAGTAGGCTCATGAGGCTTTGGCACCAGGTGGCCATGATCTGATGATTATCTGTCTCCCTACACCCCAGCACGGGCTGGGTTTGAGGAGGGAGGCGCTGGCCCAAGGAAGGAGCATGCACGCTCAGACAGTGAGAACTGGCGCTCACTAAGAGAGGAACAAGAAGAGGAGGAGGAGGGCAGCTGGAGACTAGGGGCAGGACCTCGGCGAGATGGTGATCGCTGGCGCTCCTCCAGCCCCGGTAAGATGGGCAAGGTGGGGTTCAGGAGCTGTCCCCCATGGCTGGGAGGAGAGGGCAGGTGCTGGCTGGAGATCATTTGGGTGGCAGAGCATCTTGGGGGCTTCCATGCTGGTTGGGAGGACCCAGTGAACTGGAGAAGGCAGATTGTGGCTTGACAGGACACTGGTTTTTTTTTTTTTGCCTTTCTCAAACTTTCTCTCCCAGATGGTGGCCCCCGTTCTGCTGGCTGGCGGGAACATGGGGAGCGGAGGCGAAAATTTGATTTTGATTTGCGAGGGGAACGTAGCGGGTGTGGTGAAGAGGACGGGCGGGGTGGGGGAGGCAACTCTCACCTCCGGAGGTGCCGTGGGCTCGATGGCTTTGAGGATGACAAGGATGGGCTCCCGGAATGGTGCTTGGACGATGAAGACGAAGAAATGGGCACTTTTGATGCCTCTGGAGCCTTCCTGCCTCTCAAGGTACCCACCTCAAGGACTGATGAGAGGTTGGTGGGAGCTGTCCCCTGGCAACCTCCCACTATATGCCTTCTACCCCTTTTCCACACCAGAAGGGCCCCAAGGAACCCATTCCTGAGGAGCAAGAGCTTGACTTCCAGGGCCTGGAGGAAGAAGAGGAGGAACCTTCAGAAGGACTGGATGAAGAGGGGCCTGAGGCAGGTAAGTCTTCCAGGTCTGGCCAGGAAGAAGCCTGAGAATCTTAGGCTGGGACTGGTGGGCAAGAGGGATCTTGTTGCCAGGCCGGTCACTGGCTGCCCACCTACCTACCTGTAGGGTCAAGTTACTTAAAAATGCCAAGCCAGGGGGCTGGAGAGATGGCTCAGCAGTTAAGAACACTGACTGTTCTTGGAGAAGACCCAGGTGCGAATCGCAGCACCCACACGGCAGCTAACAACTGTCTATAACTCCAGTTCCAGGGGATCCGACAGCCTCTTCTGTCCTCGGCAGGCATTGCATGACACGGGTGCACTTACTTACATGCAGGCATAACACTCATACACATAAAATAAAAATAATAAACAAAATTAAAAAAAAAAAAAAGCCAAGCCAGGGCTGGCAATAGCTGGCTCAGTAAGTGAAGGTGCTTGCTGCCAAGCCTGAAAATCTGAGTTTGATCCCAAGAATCTATATGGTGGAAGAAAAGAAGCACCGCCAGGAAGTTGTCCTTTGACCTCATGACCACATGTGCATGTACACACATACACACAAAATGGATAAATGTGGTGGTACATGCCTTTAATCCCAGCACTCGGGAGGCATAGACAGGCAGATTTCTGTGAGTTCAAGGCCAGCTGGGGCTACAGGGTGGTGCCCTCTCTCAAAAAACTAACTAGGTAAAAAAATGCATATGATCAGAATGACCTTTGGCATCCCTCGGAAGCTCTATAGAGCCTACAGTGTCCAACAACAGCCCTTCATAGCATTGTGGGTCCTGCAAATGTCCCACAGAATAGGACCAGGGAGTCACTGTGCACTGATGCTTGGTTTTCCACATCCACACTCACATCACGGAGTGGACCAAAGTTATGAGGAGGGACATACTAACCAAGGTCTTATTTTCCCCTTTGTTTTTATTCTGTGTGTTCTTGTGTGTGAATGTGGGCCCACCTTGCACGTGTGTGTGTGTGCGTGCGCACGCACAGTGTATGTATGTATGTACAGACCTCTAGAAGACAACCTCAGGTGTAGGGCCTCCCCATTCCCTTGAGGCAGGCTCTTTTTGTTGATTTCCACTCCCTGTACCAAACTGGTTGGCCCACGAGCTTCCAGGATCTCTCCTACCTCTGCTTCCCATTGTCCCATAGGAAAACTGACATTCCAGACACACACCACCAGGTCTGGCTCTTATGTGAGTTCTGAGGATTTGAACTAGGGTCCTCAGGTTTGTGAAACAAGTGCTTTTATCCACTGAGCCTCTGCCCCTTTGGTTTTGAGTTCAGTATTCCCTCATCACCAGGTGGAAAGGAGCTGACCCCATTACCACCTCCAGAGGACAAGTCTAATTCCCCATCCCCACTGCCTGCCTTGGGCCCTCTCTGGACGACAAATGGGGATGGTGACGAAACAGTGGAGAAAGAGCTGCCTGTAACTGAAGGTAGACAGGAGGGTACTGCCAGAGAAGGCTGGCCAGGGGGTGGGTATTGAAGTGGGGCTCTATTGAGAGTCCCTGCATCTAGAGGGTGCATAGGGCTGTCTTGACCCCTTCTCTGCCCCTCCCTATTTCTCTCTTCCCAGGAGATGAGATGAGGGCACTCCCGCTGAGTCCTGGGGTCGGCTCACCCCCTGGCCCACCTGTAGATCTAGAAGATGAAGAAGGCTTGAAGCACCTGCAACAGGTGTGGGGGTGTCTGCAAATGCTCCAGGGCCTCCCCTCCAGAGGTTCAGGGTACCTTCGTCCTGTCTGGTTGGTCTTTGGCCCCAGGCCCCTACCTCTTGGTGTTGCTGGGATTGGGCATCTCAGCCTGGCCTCTCTTCCTGGGCCCACAGGAGGCAGAGAAGCTGGTGGCATCCCTGCAGGACAGCTCCCTGGAGGAGGAACAGTTCACTGCTGCCATGCAGACCCAGGGCCTGCGCCACTCCACAGCTTCCACTGCCCTTCCCCTCAGCCATGGAGCTGCCCGAAAATGGTTCTACAAGGACCCGCAAGGGGAGATCCAAGGTAGCTAGCTGCAGGAGGCAGGCAGCTGCAGGGCGGGGTCGTGTTTTATTTTTTTGGAGGCATTGCATAGCTCTGGCTGGTCTGGAACTCCCTACATAGACCTGTCTGGCCTCACTCTCACAGACATCCACATGCCTGTGCCTCCCACGTGCTAGGATTAAAGGCATGTACTGCATTCTTCCTCTAGGATCTGTCAGTGTGCTCTCTGACCCCAGTGGCCTCTCCTAATGGCCCTCACACTCTTGTTCCAGGCCCTTTCACAACCCAAGAGATGGCAGAATGGTTCCAGGCCGGCTACTTCTCCATGTCCCTCTTGGTGAAGCGGGGCTGTGATGAGGGTTTCCAGCCGCTGGGAGAGGTGATCAAGATGTGGGGCCGTGTGCCCTTTGCCCCCGGGCCTTCGCCACCCCCGTTGCTGGTGAGCATCATCCGCAGGTTGCAAGGACAGACAGTAGGGGTTGGACGCAGAACCTCAGAGGCTGTCTTCCCCACCACCTGGCATGCTGGATATGTTCCTGCTGGGCACACTCACATCAGGCATGTTTCACCTCCCACAGGGGAACATGGATCAGGAGCGGCTGAAGAAGCAGCAGGAGCTGGCTGCGGCGGCCTTGTACCAGCAGCTGCAACATCAGCATTTTCTTCAGCTGGTCGGCAGGTATGGGGAGCTGCAGGGCTTTGAATGGCTGGTGAGGGTGGTGGTCCTGAGTAGTCCACCACTGAGCCCCATGTGCCTCTGTAGCCGCCAGCTCCCGCAGTGTACACTCCGGGAAAAGGCAGCTATGGGGGACCTGACGACACCGCCGACGCCGCAGCCGCAGCAGCAGCAGCAGCAGCAGCAGCAACAGCAGCAACAGCTTACTACGTTCCTGCAGCAGCTCCAGGCTCTCAAAACCCCCAGGTCCATGCTATGTGACAAGGCCATCCATGTCTGAGTATACACGTGTGTGTGCATGTGCAATGTGAAGGTATACGTGAGGGTGAGGGTGTGCACATGTGTTTGAATGTGCATGTGTGTATATGCATTTGTGTTAGTGAATGTATGTGTGTGTGTATGTGTGTGTGTAAAGGTATGCATGTGTATGTCTTAGTGAATGTGCGCATGTGTACAAGTGTGTATGCATTGTGAGTAAATGTGTGAGTGTGCATGGTGTATGAGAGTGTGTGCATGCACGCACGTGGGGGAGGGGAGCAGGCCCCAGGTGGATGCAGTGTCCTCAAAGCCAGTAATTTGCTTCTTAGAGGTGGGGACCAGAACCTGCTCCCGACGATGAGCCGGTCCTTGTCGGTGCCAGATTCAGGCCCCCTTTGGGACTTACATACCTCAGCCTCATCACAGTCAGGTGAACGTCTAGCCTGGCCTGTGCCATATCCCAGCCCCCTCCTCTCCCTCCAAGTCTCTGCTGCTCACCCTCAGCTGCCCTGACTCCTGTCTGTGGGTGGCTGGGGAGCTTAGCTGGGCCTGGGCACCCTCCACAGCTGCCTGTCCCCCTGCAGGTGGTGAGGCCAGTCTTTGGGACATACCAATTAACTCTTCGACTCAGGGTCCAATTCTCGAACAACTCCAGCTGCATAAAGTGAGTGTTGGACTGGCCCGGTGGAAGGGTGGCTGAAGCTGGCAGAGCCTCCCAGTTGGAAATGGGCTCATGCATGTCTTTGTCACCACAGTTCCAAGAGCGCAGAGAAGTGGAGCTCAGGGCCAAGCGGGAGGAGGAGGAGCGCAAGCGCCGTGAGGAGAAGCGCCGCCAGCAGCAGCAGGAGGAGCAGAAGCGGAGGCAGGAGGAGGAGGAGCTCTTTCGGAGGAAGCAGGTTCGATTCCCCCATGCCTGTTCCCATCCCTGTCCCCTACTTCCCCAGCTAGCCACCCTCACCCGCTGTGTTTTGCAGGTGCGACAGCAGGAGCTGCTATTAAAGCTGCTGCAGCAGCAGCAGGCAGCGAATGTCCCCATGCCCCCTGCCCCCAGCTCCCCACCCCCACTTTGGGCTGGCCTGGCCAAGCAAGGCCTGTCCATGAAGACGCTTCTGGAACTGCAGCTGGAGAGTGAGCGACAGCTGCACAAGCAGCCTGCACCCCGGGAATCGTTGAGGGCCCAGGCCTCCAACCACCGTGTGGTGAGCAGCAACAGCCTCTGGGGACCTTTTCTGGGATGGGGGTCATGGGGAACTGAGCTCAGACCTGTGAAGCCAGAGCCTTGATTCTTTGCTTGACTGTAAGAATGTCCCCCTCTCCCTGGTCTTTACCTACTCCCTCTACCTGTGACCTCCCCCCAACAACCCTCCCACGCTAGGTATCTAGGCTTCCATTACTAAAGTCCTCTCCCCTAACTTCCTGCCATTTGCAGCAGCTTGGGGGCTTGGGCACTGCCCCTCTGAACCAGTGGGTGTCGGAGGCCGGTCCTCTGTGGGGAGGGCCTGACAAGAGTGGGGGCGGTAGCAGTGGCAGCCTGGGGCTCTGGGAGGACACCCTGAAGAGTGGCGGGAGCTTGGCCCGAAGCCTGGGCCTGAAGAACAGCCGGAGCAGCCCATCTCTCAGGTGGGCACCCCCACCCCACCCCCACCCCCCTGCTTGGCCAGGGTGGGTCAGGGAGGGAAGGATGCCTAAGTCTCTGGGTTCATCTGTGGCCTGCAATTTCCTCACCCACCTCAGTGACTCATACAGCCACCTGTCTGGTCGACCTGTTCGCAAAAAGACGGAAGAGGAAGAAAAACTGCTAAAGTTGCTGCAGGGCATCCCCCGGCCGCAGGATGGCTTCACCCAGTGGTGTGAGCAGATGCTACACACCCTGAGCACCACGGGCAGCCTGGACGGTATAGTGGGTACACCCAGCAGGCCATGCTGGTACCAGGGGCTCTAGACCTGCCCAACACCTGATTGTCCCCTCTTTACAGTGCCCATGGCTGTAGCGATCCTCAAGGAGGTGGAGTCTCCCTATGACGTCCATGATTATATCCGTTCCTGCCTGGGGGACACGCTGGAAGCCAAAGAATTTGCCAAACAGTTCCTGGAGCGGAGGGCCAAGCAGAAAGCCAGCCAGCAACGGCAGCAGCAGCAGGTGAGGTCTTGGGAGGACCTGGGAGGGGAGGGGAGGTGCCTGGTGCCCTCCTCATACTCCCTCCCTTTCTGTTACCTTAGGAGGCCTGGCTCAGTACCACCTCCCTTCAGACAGCCTTTCAGGCCAACCACAGCACCAAACTTGGCCCTGGGGAGGGCAGCAAGGCCAAGAGGCGGGCGCTGATGCTGCATTCAGACCCCAGCATCTTGGGTGAGCACAGGGTGGGGCTGGGAAGACACTTTGCTCTCCTTGTACAGGCCACATGGGGCCTGGGGGAGCTCACCTCACTTCTCCCTCCACTTCAGGGTACTCCCTGCACGGCCCTTCTGGTGAGATCGAGAGCGTGGATGACTACTGACCAGCCTGTCCTACCAGCCCCCTGGGCTTTCAGACCAGGGCAGCAGCAGCTTGGACCCTCAGGTCCCCAGCTTGCAGGCTCCCAGCCAGGAGCGGAGGAGAAAGCGGGGCAGGGTCCCCAGCACTTGCTACAAACCACACGATGCACCTTAACTCACCCACCACGAGGCACTTTACAGATGGGAGGGACTCTTTCTTTTTTCTCTTTAATTTTAAACGTTAGGAGAGACAAAAGTATCATTCAGAAACTAGACTGTAGACCCCTTTCCCCTATTGGGGGTAATGGGTGATGATAGAAGGTCCACAGAGGGGGTTTTTGTTTGTTTTTCGGTTTTGTTTTTTAAGAAAAATAAGAAAAATAATGAAAAAAAGTTAGGAGGCTGAAAAGAAAAAAACACTGTTATTTTGGGGCAGTGGGTACCAGGCCCCATGGACCTGTCCTGCCCAGCCTTCCCCCCCCCTCCCCCCCCCCCCCCCCCCCCCCCCCCGCCCCACCCCTCCCGCCCC